AAAAATATAAATTTAAATTGAACGGATAAATTATGATTTTTATTATAAATATCATAAGCGTTGCGGTCCCTGTATTCATTAGAAAAAACATCCTAAATTACCATTCATAGAAACCCTTACTAAATTTTTTAAGTGCGAATAATAGTGAAACTAAAAAATATTTTGAAAACGACTTATGCTTATGCAGGTATGTATTTCAAAAAAATATATATGTATATTTCGACATCGAGAAAAAAGTTATCCGTTTCTCAGCCATTATAAATCGTGGAACTCAAGTCACATAGGCCAACATCTATGGTGAGAGCCTTGTAATTATGGTTACTATAAAAGTTAATTTGTTTAACAACGTTATACAGTCAATATACTCTTATAGCTTTTAAATTGGCTCTTATCTGCGAATGATTGGAAATTCCTGGGCATATTCGGTAGCTAAAATCCATGCCAATTTTAAACGCCTTTAAACTAACCGGTATTTTTACTTAACATTTTTAATATTTTCGTTGTTCGTTTGCATGTTAAATTATGAGAATAATTTATTCACATGGCATTCAATTTCATTATTTCAATGATATGTTTGAGACCAATCGGAGAATCACATTGGAGTTCAAGTTGAGAACTAGCATTTTCTCTCTTGAGAAACAGTTCTATTTTCATACAAAGAAAAATGCCCTTTTTGTTGAGAACGCTATGATCCTTCACTTGAGGTACTGTTGGGAAACAACGTTGGAGATTAGAGAAATACCTTAGTTGTCAACTTAACCGCAAGTTGAGCTCAAACCTAAATGTTTGTCGGGTTTTATTAAAGAGAAGGGAATGCAGAGTGGAAGGCGTCTTGGTTCTCACGAAGGACTTTTAGCTCCTGAAATTATCTACTAGGTAAGTTATTGTGTGCTCTTGCTTTAAAAAAGGTATGTCAATAAAAAAAATAAATATAATAAATAGATGTTGGCCCTTTTGGTTAGTTTTAGCAGCGCAAAATAAATTAATACTTACAACGCGCATATTTTTAATGCTTGGAAGAACACGTTTGGTATCAGCCTCTTTTTTAATGAAAACTTCATTAATAACCGAACCGACCACCTCTTTTGCCGCACCCATAGCGGCTTCGCCGGCCACATTCAGGAATTCTTTTCCAGCCTGCTTGAGAAAATTCGTCAACTCATCCATTTTGCATTAGAGTTTCTGAAAATTTGCAATAGTAAAAAACAGTACAAATTTAAAATTGTTTATACATACACACATTCATATCTATGTAGTTTAACTGCTACAAGTATTTAATTTATCAGAAATATTTTAATTATTTGGAATTAAATGACTAATCTCACGACACTTGCTTGAAAACGTGATATATGTAGATACATATGTACATAAGTAAATATGTATTTGTGTTAGATACTAATAAAATCGTTTATTGTATATCACTAGCATCATCAACTGGTGCGCGGTTTCCGAAAAATATCGTTGATGGAATTATTAAATCGC